AGGCAAGGCTGTCGTGGGTTCTTGTCTTGTCCTGTCTCGAACAAGGGGTCCACCAACGGATGGATATGCATTAAAATCCCGACGATGCCAGGGACTGGGACTGTAATCTGCTGCCGGGCGGAGCGGAGAGGACTGTTCTCACTGACTGCTGAGAAAGCGAAAAAGCGCGAGGAGTGACCGTAGTTGACCAACACACGACAGTAAGCAAGGATTGTCAGTGGGAAAACTCTGGTGGTGGTGAGTAGGAGTGACTTGGCCAAGATGGGGGCGACAGAATAACCACCAAAGTCTATGGGGGTGTAAGAAAGAACTCTGGTACGATGACGATTTGTATGATTGGCTCTCCTGGTGTGGACTATGCCCTAAGGGGAAACTCTATCGGCTGAGCTAAGAGGGCCAGGTGTGTTGGGGGTAATTTATGGTGGCCCGCGACCGGAACCAGACACGGAACAGCGAATTCAGTTCAGTTCAGGGCTCTGGAGCCTCCATCACAAGCTAAACTCTCACTGAGATGGAAGCGAGAGTGAAAAGTCCGCTCGGAGATACTGACTGTACAGTTGTTCCAAGATCCATTGATTAACAATCGACTAGCCGTGACAACTGTAAGATCATCCTCTGATCAGAGACATTTGTCACTAGACCAAACCCGGGCCTTGGTTACATCGCAGACGTACGCTGCACGAGTCTCAAAGTGAATATCGCATATCAATCTCCATAGACCACAGCATGCATTTTCTCACACTCGACACTCGACACGTTTGCGTTTCAAGGTTGTTCAGGTCTCCCCGCGTTACCAGAAACTCTATCCAACTCTGTCCATGTCATTGCACATGGCATGCTTCTTTTGTGGCTCTCTCTATATTTCTCTCGGTTGTTTTAATGCAAAAGTTTATGCCCTTAGCAACCTCTAGCTACCAGAGTTTGGGGTGATTTGCCGAGGCGGGCTTGTTTTCTCGGCCGCCGGCACGTAGCTTTCGTCTCAAGGTTTACCACATCCCACGTCCCGCATCACGATGCATTTGAATGTCGCATGCAAAAAAGCATCGTGGAAAATAATTAGGCTGTATTGTACATATGTACACAAGAGGCCTAGAACGCGCAACCTCGAAGCCCTCGAGCCACATGGTGTCTCCAAGCCACACCCACTCTCTCGACCAATCTCACCCTCTTTTGGGCAAGACGATGACGGAGACGCACGTCCTTTGTTGCAAGGTTATCCCCCTGGTCCGTGCGCATCTCCAGACGCCACAGCAACAGCTCGAAATATGATGACAGCATCAAGTAACGTTGACCCAGCTTCATTATTTTATGCGTTATACAACAATTAATACCTTACGCAAACATATCGCCTCTTTCTTTTGTCTGTTTTACCCAGGATCATCCACGCAGCGGAAGTCCGGAGTAACGAAGATCAAACTTAGAGTTTCCTGCCTCAGAATGTAATGATATTCGTGGGCTACCGCGCGCAAGGCACATTTCTGCTGTAGATCAGTAAATGGTGTGCTGCTGCTGTTAAACGAGTGGATGTCCTCTAACAAAAGCTCATGTAGAAACCAATAAGCTTGTAGTATCCTGGACCCTTTTTAAACACAGACCGCCGCTCACCTTGGATCTGAACCCGCCGGTGCTCGTTTGATGCCAGCTAAAAGACTAGGTTGGTGTGTTGATCGCTTCACCTATTGAGGGGTAAAACGACAACGCAGCACATTTCTGTCTTGTGATTTACGTGGAACAAAGGCACGGTGTTTTTAAAAACTTTGTGATATTAGAAAAAGAAACTGTGTTGTGCGTGGTTATGGCGTTTAAGGTCTACGAGTGATGTCAGTCTTTGGAGGCGAGGCACAAGGCGCGGGTGAGACACGGCGTCGATCTGTCATGCTCGAGGTCAAACATCCACGTAGCACAAATACGTATATTCAATATGCATATGTACATACCGCACCTGATATTCAGATCTTCACCTCATGAAACGTCTTGAAACCAACATCCAGACGTCGCAAAGAGACAAACGTCAACCTATAGCTTTTGGGTTTCCCCACGAAGTGCAACCAATGATGCACAGCACAAGTCAGAACTGTTTCTGGTAGAACTTGGCCCTCCAATGAGGTACTGAGCAGTTTATTTTGTCACCCTCGCTCAGCACTTGTACCAAGCCAGCCCTGAACCATTGCCGCCACAGTGATCATCATCGTAGCTTGGCGGATTCGGCACAGTCGGGGGGCCCTTGTATGTACAACAAGTCCCTGAAATGATGATCCATTCTGCATCATCGCATCCTTCTTTTTTTGCCCTGCATTGCCAAATGTGCATGATTTAATATTATAGATATGTTAATATTGACCTGACGTCTTGTGCTTCAGGGTTTAAGACATTATTGAGTTGCATTCTTTGGGCCTCATAAGCTTTGGTGGTGCTTTCACACAAAAATTTAAAATATTTTCCAACGTTAGCTGAAAGTGAGCTGAACTGAAATGGTCTGAAATGGTCTGGTTGTAAGTGGCGGAAGCATGACGGCCGGACTCGACCGAACCACCGACACGGCCGTAATTACGGCTCTATCGGATATCTCCCGGCGTCGCTCTTATGATATCGGCGTCAAATAGTTCTTGTTTTTTCTTGTGTGAGCAACGGAATATCGCAAGATTCTAATCCGATCTTATTCCTCCGTGGATATTACCAATTCATATCTCCATCGTCCGCTATTCCCGATCGTCACGGGGTTTTCCTCTCCTGCAACGCACCATTTGGAAAATCTGATCGACGTCATCGCTGCTTACGAGACTTGTTTCGTCTCACTCCAGCCTCAATCAGCCTCACCTAACAGTCATTCTTCACTTTGTTGCTATATCTGGATGCTTTGAGATTATTCAGTGGTATGCTGCCGTAGAATGTGCATCGCCCGCTTACACGCGACATGTCGTTTGCAGATACTCCCCAACCACCAATCATTTTCCCCGTTGACCTGGGCGTAACTTTAACTCATGGTCCGTGAACAGCTTTGAAATGTTAATGTTTCGCGTCGCATCCAAAGGTTCAAAGATTGGAAAGTGCTCGTGTGCCCGTATCAACAAACTGACACGGATACGGCATCATCCTAGATCAGAGCAGGCCTCAGTATACCAGGCTCTTCCCTGTCCGGGGAAGTTTTGAGTCAAATTCAATGTCTTACACCGCGCGGGATGAAGCTTTTGCAGGAACTTTCTTACGTACATACAGCTTCTCGGTGAGAGATGCACACATCTCGGTCGCCTATTTTAGGAGCACCCGACCTCAGATCTGTCTCAAACATGCTGGGCGTCAAAACGATAGGGACAAGGTCCCACGTGAAGACCTACGCTTTTCGACACCGAAGATGCAACGGGCCAAGCAACCCGCGATACTGGGATCCTTGTGTCTTCCTATTCGGGACACCGAGATCCCACGGTCTCAGCTCGTTCTCAGGGGAGAGAAGCTCTGCCCCCAGCTCCGGGTCTGGATCCTCGAGCCAATTAGGGAGATGGAGTTTGCGACAAGCTATTGCATCTAGAATTTCCGTATGATGAGAATTTTTGTGAGAGGTTCTTCAGCCCTGTCGACGGCAGTGGAATATGCGGGCGCCTGGCCGAGGGCACGGGAGCTGTAAGCTTTGAAGAGGGCCAATGAGGTTGATCATAGGAAATGAAGAATTCGCGTGAATCGAATCCGAAAGCTTTTCTCCTTGTTGTTGTATGTTGTTGTCAGTTGATATGCTCAAATTGCTCAATGCTACTGCTCAGGCATTGTCTCCTCAGCGAGCATGTACTCAAGACATTGGCTGGACGCATGTTGAAAGAAGCTCATCACAACTGTTTCACATGCGAAATCATAGTCGACATTTCTAACCCGGAAACATGTTTTGCCGACGAACTTCACTCAATAATCCATCGGCAAGTATCTCCTGAGCCGTTTATAGTCAACGGCAGTTTCTCGAAGCACACCGAATCTGCCGGCGGCTATAATGAGTATCATGCCATCGAAATGACAGGTTCTATCGAGATGGCACATGTCCCGACGTATCGTCAGATCATCTGTCAAGCTATTGGCAGTTCTCTGACCGATATCTTGGTACATATGCAACATGTTGGTGGAACCGAGCTTCCGGTCTCGGCCAAATTGCACCGCGATCGACCTTGATGAGGTTACCCTGAAGTGAAGCATCACGTTGATGTTTTCAAGATCATCAATGTCAAACCATTGAATTTGTAACATGATCCGTCAAATGACTATTTCCAATTGCCAGACCAAGATACTGCCTCATATTTGCATCTCACTTCATGTTCTGGTGTCATATCATGTTGACAATCTGCATAGAGTTGACCCTACTGCAAGATGCCCCACGACTCGATAAGTTAAGCCGAGCCGTGAAGCGCTCTTGAAGCTTTCATCACCAAAACTGAGCCATTTGTTGTTACATTACTACTCACCATTGATAACCGATAGCCAATAAGACCTTTATTTCCGTACATATGCCCACATTACAATGACGTTGAGGTCGTGTAGGATGCATCAACCCCGCTGAGGGGTTGTTGAGGCATTCATATATCAAGACGCATCCTCTGCCTTTCTTAACTCTTGTTCTTCAACTCAATTTTCTGACAGTTATCTTGTCTCAATCAGTAACTTTGTTTCAAACACCACTCACATAACTTTCGGTACGATGTGACAACGCACGAATAAGGAGCAATGGCTCTCTTCGCAATTATTACCATGTATCAAGGTAACGTTTAAAAGAACGCATCCGGGTGTTCAACTGCCTCTATGCTCTGTACCTCCCCTCATCTCACAGCACGTCTCATCCATCTCCAATGGTGATGACTGTACATCGTGTGTGAGGACGGGCAGAGCAGGGCAGTTGATCTGAGAAATACCGGCGAACTTGATCTGGATAATACCAGCGAAAGGACATGCTTCTTGACATCCCCCCCTTTGCTCCGGGTGAACCGGGAAACTAACCCTAGCAGTAAACCACTTGATCTTTCATCATGTCGACTGATAAGATCACTTTCCTCACCAACTGGTACAACTGACTTGCTCTAGTACATGAACTTGTATTGACTGTTGTTAGGCACGCTACGCCTTACCACGCGCCGCTGTACCTTGCTCAGGCTAAGGGATACTTTAAGGAGGAGGGAATCAAGGTTGCTCTTCTTGAGCCCAACGATCCTAGTGTAAGTGGTTCTTCTATGGTGATTGACGACCAAGATGCTGACGATCGTCTAGGATGTCACTGAGATCATTGGTACTGGCAAGGTCGACCTTGGCTTCAAGGCCATGATTCACACTCTGGCTGCCAAGGCTCGAAACTTCCCCGTCCAGTCCATCGGTAGTCTTCTCGACGAGCCATTCACTGGCGTCGTCTACCTCAAGGACTCTGGTATCACCACCGACTTCCGCACCCTCAAGGGCAAGCGCATCGGCTATGTCGGTGAATTTGGCAAGATCCAGATCGACGAGCTCACCTCGCACTACGGCATGACTCCTGATGACTACACCGCCGTGCGCTGTGGTATGAACGTCTCCAAGGCCATCATCAAGGGCGAGATCGACGCCGGTATCGGTCTGGAGAACGTCCAGATGGTTGAGCTCGAGGAGTGGCTCTCTGCCCAGGGCCGTCCCAAGGATGATGTTCAGATGCTTCGCATCGACGAGCTCGCTGAGCTTGGCTGCTGCTGCTTCTGCACCATCCTCTACATCGGCAACGAGAAGTTCCTCGCCGAGAACCCGGAGAAGGTCCGCTCGTTCCTCCGCGCCGTCAAGAAGGCCACCGACTTTGTCCTCGCCGAGCCCGAGAAGGCCTGGGCCGAGTACGTCGACTTCAAGCCCGTCATGGGAACCGCGCTCAACCGCAAGATCTTCGAGCGCAGCTTTGCCTACTTCAGCAAGGATCTCAAGAACGTCAAGCGTGACTGGGAGAAGGTCACCAAGTACGGCAAGCGTCTTGGTGTCCTGGACGAGAGCTTTGAGCCCAACTACACCAACTCGTACCTCGAGTGGACTCTTTCTGGGGAGTCTAGCGACCCTACTGGGGACCAGAAGCGTATTGCTCAGCTCCAGAAGGATGTCGCTGCTTCTGGTGGCTTTCACCGTCTTCAGGCTGAGGTCAAGGCTTGATTGAACCTTGGGATGATACGAAGGAATATGGTTTGACCTAGTACAGATACATATCTGATACACTCTCTCATGGTCTGGAGGAAGTTACATGGTCACTCGTTTAGTAGGCTCTGCCACACCAATATCAAGTAACTCACTCTCGTATTCTTAGTCCATGAATGTGAAGTCTGTATCTCGTGACGATGCCGTCGCTGGACTGGAATGTTGACTGCCACCACGTTGATGAACCGTTTCCGGACAAACGGCTAAGGCTAGATTAGTGGTTTCCTAAAATATGCATCTATGTAAGCGCATTTCTTTCGTGCGGCTGAGATTCCCCATGTTGATACTTCCGTCCGGATGTAGAATGAGTAAAGTTTACTACAGCCCTATACGAACTAAGACATGCTGACCGGGCAGCCGGGAAGCCACTCGATCGTAAGGCTGGCATGAAATGGCCGATATGTGTAGACCTTGAAAGAGACATTGAGAGTTTCTTGAGAGATTTCACAGAGATGTCTGCGCATATGTATGAAAGGAGGGTATTATAATATTGATGGCGTTGGAGCCTGCTTGGTGTATATGCCAGATACCTATCTACATGTAACCCAAGAAGAAACATTACTGAACTTGCATTGTCGTCTTTAAAACTCATAAACTTTATGTCGTGAAGGGAATGTGTATCATTATGGTGTAAACTCAAGAACATGCTCGGGGTGTGGGTTGGCAAGGAAGTCTGGGGGCAGTGTACCAGGAGGAGGAGCCTGAAGCAAAATAAATTAGCATTCTGGTCAAAATTTCAAGTTAAACGATTCTTACCTGAAGCTTCTCTGACCACTTCTTGATATCTTCGTAGTTCTTGCAGGTGTGCTTGGTATTGAAGTCGGGGAATGCGCTGGGGTTCTTTCTGTCATACCAGACTTGTCCGAGAACACCGGTATCGACGTTGCACATGAGAACTTGGCGAATTGTGTCAAGGCAGTGTGCTGTAGAAGTCAGCTTTGAATGGCATTGAGGCAGAGTGACAGTGTGACTTACTGACGTGGAGGCGGAAGACTTCGCCGTCATTCTTGAAGGCATGTCCACCCAGGGCCTTGTAGTGGTCGTAATTGAAGTAGAGAGACTTGCGTACAAGATTCTGGGAAGAGATAAGTCATTGTTTCATTTACTCTTGCAATTGATTCCTTACCAGACAGTGAAGGTGATGCATGCCCTCCACGTTGACGATGAAACCACCGCCATGCTCAGGACTAACTTGAACATGGGCATCAGTGAGACCACTGGCGATTCCGTCTTCGTATGAGATGACACCAGGTCGATCTTAACAAAGTTAGTCAATGCTTCAGCAAGGCTGTTCAAGAGGGAAGCACATACAGTCAACACCAAGTGATTCCCATGCTTCATCGACTTTAGCAGAGCCGTTCTTGCGGAAGTCATTCTCTTCCATAAAGTTTCCATCAAATGGTTGTTCGTGGTATTTTATCGCAACGTCCTTGAGAACAGGTGCTGTAATTGAGAGGTCAATTGATGGTTCTAGCTGGGGTCATTGAGTCGAGGACTTACACCATGCTGTTGTGTGTGCAGCACATGTCTGGTCAATGTTGAGATATGCCATTGAGATCCATGCTCCTGAAAGGGCTGAGATAAAGATGATTGAGAGTAAAGTGAAGATCCATCCGACACATCTGCATGCAGAGCATCGCCGTCTTCGAGGAGGGACATAATGGTAGGATTCTGAGTCTTCGTCTGTATCTTGACCATCGACGAGAGGGTTCAAGAGTGCAGATTCTTGTTCTTGCTTGGGAGCCATGTTTGCAACAATTGAGAGATGTGAACAACGAGAGAAAACGGAATGATGAAAGACTTGTGTTTAAAGGTGAGATGAATCTGAGTAAGACAAGAATAGAGTCAGAAATGAGAAGAAGGAAATGTCCGAAAGCTCTCGAGGTTCTGATAAAATTAGAACGGGAACTGTCGAGACCCTTAACATGACGATATTGAGCGGCTGACATCCATAGTGCCAACCCAATGCATGCTGCCGATTCAGCCGGCGCAGTCTAGCAAACTCTCATGCTCCAGATGAGGCAATCCGTGGTTATCACAGCCCTCACAAAAAAGGTTCTAGACATGGGCATCGGGCTAGAGCAGTGAGATGCGCAGGAAGTGAGAAGTGAGATACACGATAGAACCAACCCAACTTACACGAGAAAACGAGGCGGGCACCAATCACCAAGACCCAGACTAGAAGCGAATTATGCCTACATCGACATAGCGCACCTCGTGAAGAAAGGCTGAGGATGTGTTCCAGTTCAGGCAGGGCTGGATCCCGCCTCCGCATCCGACTTGGTATCGCGCTAATGTACCAAGACCAGAGAAGTTGAGTCTCCGTGATCAGACGGATCAGAAAAAAAACTGTTGGAAGCATCTCGCCCCAGATGCAGATTTAACTTCCCACAACCGTGAGGCTGAGGTTGAATCTGACCAACAATTGTCCCCGTAGAAAGCCACAATCACTGCTGTAATATTTTGGCTACACTTTTTAGGAAAGGAAAGAAAAAAAGATGGCTTTTGGTAGTTAAGGTTGTAATTGATGGTGTTGTTAGTTGGTACTAAGACGTGATGGGAATGAGGCTTGCGGGGGGTTGGGCAGAGCGTTGGTCTTGGTGGTTTACCGATACGAAGTAGATCGCTTCTATCCCGTACTGCCGAAAGTTCTTTTCCTTCTTAGTTGACGACATCGAACCCCATGATTTGCAATTGGGACGGGTAGATCATATCGTATAGCCAGGGTTTTAGATCAATCCAAGACATTTCCGCCCATCAACGACATCATCAATCCCAAAATGGGCACCCGATGATGGATCTCATGCACGTCTGACACGACATATAAACTTTCTTGTGCTATTTACGGTATGTCTTGGAAAGAATGTCCGTCTCTAGAGTCTTATCCAACGTGCATTAGCTCCGCTCACTAACACACCTTGATCATCGTGCTAGTTGCCCAGATCGTGGCTTGTCTTCCCAGATAGGGAAATCCTGCTGAATTTTTGGCTTACACGAGAAGCAACTTTCCCGGGTAGTCTCTGCAGCCAGCCACCGCTGGTACATCAGTCAAGCTAACAAGGGATCACGATCCTCAAGCTAAGGTAGGACTCAATGATGCAAAGCTTCTCAGAAACTGCGCGATCGTTACCGTGAGAGGGAAGTCTTGAGGGCTCAGCCTTGGCGTGGTCCAATGGAGAGCCTCGTCCGGATGGTGATCCCCTCCACTTGCAAGCTGTGAGACTGATACGAGGTTTTGCTTTTCTAGCTTAGACTTCTCAGTGTTAGCCTGAACAGGCTGATGAGTTGTCTCTTGCCGTAGGATCCGACGCCATCGTCGAGTTGTGCTTGGCGGAGCGAGTCTGGTTCTGGAGAGGTAAGTAGACTTTCGGAGCAGAGAGCTTCCAGCGTGCTTCTGCAAGCTAAGCTGAGCTTTAATCAAGATGATCATGAGATACTTTTCTGTACTTCCAAGAGGCGTCCATCCTTGTCCATAAAGTAGGAGTTCCCATCCTGAGCTGAAGTGTTTCCTCACCACCCTTCTCACCCATCTCTTCAGCCTTAACTACCCACCACCCACCCTCTTCTCTGTTCCTTCACTCAATCATCTTTTCCTGTCCTTCTTCAGACATCAAAAATGAAGTTCACCGCTGTTACACTCCTCACTCTCGCTGCAGGTGCCTTGGCGGCCCCGGTTGCTGAAGCTGCCCCCGAAGCTGAAGCTGCCCCAGGATATGCTACCTACGGCGATTATAAGGGCGCAGGTGAGAACCTGAAGTCTTATCCTAGCTACGGAAGCTATGGTGCAAAGCCAAAGCCTAAGCCTAAGCCTGCTCCGGCCCCTGCTCCTAAGAAGTATACCAATTATGGTGAGAAGTCCCTTTAGCAAGCTGCAGTCCACGTTCACACACTTACACTCTTCCAGGAAGCTACGACTATAAGAAATACGGCTCCTATGGCTCTTATAAGCGTGAGGAGGTTGAAAAGCGTGAGGCTGCTCCTGAAGCTGCTCCCGAAGCTGCACCTGAAGCTGAAGCCGCTCCTGGATATGCCACTTATGGAGATTATAAGGGAGCCGGCGAGAACTTGAAGTCTTATCCTAGCTATGGAAGTTACGGCGCAAAGCCTAAGCCTAAGCCAAAGCCTGCTCCGGCTCCTAAGAAGTACACAAATTACGGTTCGCCATCCTCCTTCAACCCCTGATATTCTCATACTAACTGCCCCCCCAGGAAGCTACGACTACAAGAAATACGGCGATTATGGCTCTTACAAGCGCGAAGCTGAGGCTGAGGCTGAGCCTTCTTCCAAGAAGCCTGCTCCTGCTCCCAAGAAATATACCAACTATGGTGAGTCAACTCTCTGTACACTGCAACGACACTCAACTGACACTAGCAGGATCTTACAACTACAAGAAGTACGGCTCTTATGGTGCTTATAAGCGCGCCAAAGAGTTCATCGGCTCTCTCTTCTAAGCTCAAAACTGAAATTGACATGGCGATGAAAGGGGTATTGGAACTGGGACAGTACAGGATGGCACAACGCACATAACTGTTCTTATGAACGACTTACGATTCTCAACGAGAGAAATGTTTAATGTTTTATGTTTGGAATGAGTTTGGACTTGATGTAATGGAGTGTTTTGGGATCCAAGGTGGTGCAGGGTTTACTGTTAGATATATTCTTAGACTCTCTTTAATACTATTAGATCTTTGCTCCAAGATAAAACTCATGTGAGAATAAGTTTCGTATGTTTAACTAAAAAGATTTGGTGGGTTTTATTTGATTTGGTTGGCGTTGAGTTTGGCATTGTTTCACAGTGGCAGCACATCCATCATTTTATATGCAGCAATTCACTCTCAAGTCTCAACCAACCAAGTCGGCACCCAATCTCACTGCTCGCAACTGTTTCTCCACGATTCATCTACCTAGCTCAAGTTATTCAATGTCGTGCCTATGGGGGAAGATATAAGTCACTGAGCTCACCGAACCTTGTTCCTGGCACTCTCGGATCGACCTCTCTTCCTCCGCCCGCTACAAATCAGTTACGACTTTTTTCCGCCGCCTCACAACCCTGCGGTACAATCTTCCTCCGCCCGCTACGATTCCTTCCTTTCCGTCCGTTGAAGTCACGGTCTCACGATTTCTTTCCGCCCGTCACGATCTTCGCCCGTCACAAGCTCTCTTCGCCGTTTGCGATCTCTTATTGCTGCCTCGCAGCATGATCTTTCTCCGTCGCGCTCTCGCCGTGTTGCGGTCTCCTACAAGATCTTGTAGTCAAGATCTTGACATTACCTTCTCTCTATCACGGCAGAAACTCATGTCCAGTTTCCGATTCACCCGATGTTCTCATCCTAGCCATCCAAGCAAGGATTAGGAGTACAGACGCCTTTTCTCAGAGCCCCTTTCAAAGCCCGGCGGAACAACATCATACGAGGGCTATCTCTGCGCTCTACAACTCAATAGCCATCCCAATTCACCATCTCAAGGCAAGAAAGCTCAGGACCCTGACCCTAAGCGATAAAAGTATTTAGGTAAATTTAGGTAAATCTAGCCTAAGCTTAGGGGACTCTTTACTAAGTTTATTTTAGTATCATCTGTTCAAGTCTTGAGTTTTCTTGCTCCTTGAGGCTTGCACTTGTCAACATACACTCAATCCTCTCTTCAACCTCAAAACCATCTCGCGCCGTTGCGCTGTCTCATTCTCAAGCATCATAGTTCGCACAATCTACATCTCCACAACGAGCGTTGCTTTTCAAGCCATCTTCAACCGACAACCATCAATGTCTCACCATGCTCCCACAGCGAGCATCTCAGCAAAGATCTCGAGTATCGACGCTTGTTCTCCGAACCTCTCACGAAACCCGGTGGCACCCTTTCATATGAGGGGTACCTCCGTGCGATCCAATTATACGGCCGAGAAGATCTACTTATCAACAGCCACAAGGTACACCGATACCACCGGTGGGTAACAAATAACCCAGAGCTACATCAGTCATATCAAGACCAGGCACGTCGAGACGGATACAATCCCACAGGTGGATCGTCCAACGCCTTCACCGGCATATACTATCCAACCCCACCACTAGGCGGACCGTCCCGACAAACTCAAGCTGATTCAGATCTCATCTTCCCCCATTCCCCGCAGCATTTCCGTCAAGCGACGTCGAATACATCCGAGCCACCATCGCCAGGGTCCGAAGCTCGCCCAGAAACCATTGGCGCCCCAACGACGCAGCCCGCGCAACTCAAGTGGTCAGTTTGCTCCCGCCGAGGACGCAATTGCGGACTATAAAGGAAATGTACAGGCAAATTGCTTGGAATGCGATTGGCGCCGCAGAAAACGCCCTCCTCTTGGCCGAGTTGGTCAAGAATTTTCTTGATAAAGGCGTAACCCCGGAGTTGCGCCAGAAGGCGACCTCTATCCTGACAACGATGGGTGGCACTCAAGGATTGACCACGGGTCTGAATATCATTATAGGCGAGCAATCTCCTGAACTGGCGCCGAGCTCTATCGACCCCGTCCTCCGAACTGCACATGCTGGCCGCAGCGGAAGTTCTTCTAGCACCTCTAAGAAGTTCAACGACAAACCCATTCCAATTGACCTTACCGGGTCATCTTCCAGGAAGCGATGGGCAGCCGATCATGAGTCGGACGAAGACGTCTCGGGGGTCCTCAATGCACCGACCAAACCACCAACGAGCGCTCTTCCCGTCATTCCGTGGCAATGGCAGGCAGCACCTTCTATCATCAAAGACTTCATCGCCTTTCGCAATGGCTGCCGGGCCATTTATACCCTTATCTGTGCTGATGAGGCAATGGTTTTCTTGACCGGGGATGCAGCCCAGATGTTGAGGCACCTTCTCTTTATCCTTTGAAAGAAGATTTCACAGTCTCTGCCTCTCACAGTAGCTGCCTACATGGCTGGTATTGGAAAATCACTTGTCATGTCATTAGACATGCCGCTTCTCATCCCCTATCCCGACTCGACTGCGATGGCATCATACTTCACCTCCATCAGCGATATGTCCATCTTTAGCAATGTGAACGACGCCCGTGTGCTCGCAAGAGACACGGCGAACTTTATGAAGTCGCAGGGCTGGGTGGACTCTGCTGGACTTGCAATCCAGCATGAGCGAGCGATGACGCCTGCTGAGGGCTTGTCGTGGCAGACGAGCTGATCCATTTGGGTCAGTCTTGGAAGCTGCTTACTGCGACCAATTGGTATTAATGGGCGCAGGTTATTTATGAGGATGCTCGTGCTCTTAGCTGGGTTATTCCACCACCATGGCCAGCCACACCTATCATTGTCGAAGACTGTATTACTACTGGAAATAGCCGTAAGGCTATCTTCTCGCTCGTTATTGCAGATGAAACCATGGTATTTATGGATAACAGAGCTGCGCAAACATTCTGCGCACTTCTTCTTTCACTCCGAAAAAAGATTGCACCATCGCTGCCCCTTTCCACCGTTGCCCATATGGCGGGGATCCATAAGTCCTTTGTTATATGTATTGACATGTCGTTTTGCATCCCCAACTCAGACTCGACAGCTATGGCATCATATGTCAGTTTCATTACCGACGTCAGCCTCTATGCCAACGAGGCAGATACCCGCCAACTTGCAAGAGACATAGCATCCTCTATAAGGGCCCAGGGCTGGCAGCTTTCCGCTCGGCTGCCCGTTCAGTTCCAACGGGAAATCATACAGATAGAGGGCAGGGTCCCAATGGAGGTTGTGGCGGACAAGCTGACATATTTAGGTGAAGCATGTAAGCGTCTGATGACAATCAACACTTGGAAACGCCCTCAGGCCATCTCTGCCGGTGACGTCCGTAACCTATCTTTGGAAAATAGACCAGATCGGCGAAACTTCTCTTCCTCCCGCTGGTCTCCTGCCCGAACACGACCTACCCCCCGGTCCGGTTTGGAACAATGCGCACAAGAAACCAGCTTTGCCGGTTGCTTCAGGAATTATATAATAATTCACCTGAAGAATTCCACCAAAAGGTGGACCGAGCATATGCTCAGTTCCTTCATAAATTCAGTACAACTCAACAGTCATATAACGAATCCAACCAGTTTTTGATAATGGGAATTGCTTCTCTGGGTTTTCCCAGGTGTTTCCGTCAGCTGCCCTTGCTCAACTTATGCAAATGGTCTTACACGCAGAGAAACGACAAACCTGGGCCTTGTTCTCGATGTATGAGATCAACTTTGCCATTTTTCAGGATGCTGCGCCTCGCGCGCAGCGGAAAGCATTTTACATCCTGGTCAACCACAGCAGAAATGACCTGCAGCGCCTACTTACATGCGAGACCGAGGTCTCACACCTGTGTAACTGGAGACGGTGTATTAACCCACAGCACGTTACACTCGAGTCACACACGACTAACATTTCGCGAAAAGCATGTTTCACACAGGCACTTGGGCACTTCGGTGCTGGCATTCCGGTCAAGGTCTCATGCGATTTACACGAACCACCATGTCTACTACAGCAGGCAGTACTACCAACTATTACGAAGGTGATAAATGAATGGGAAGCAATGGGGAGGCCTCTGCCAGAGGCCTTACCCGAGCAAATGGATTACTCTAACGCAGAATTACTCACAACACCTATTAACCAGTACACATGGGTCAACAATCGGCGAGCTGTTGTCCGGGAATATACAATCCCGGTAGTAAATGATGAATATAAAGGAACAAAGGCGCTAGGAATGATATACTCGAGTATCTTGGTGAAAGAGTTGATGGAAGCATAGATGGAAAATAGAAGGGCATAAATAGTAATAATATTTTGGACCTGGTTTTTCCCAGAACCACTTACCTGGGGATTTTAATTATAGCCACGGACATGATGCCTGCTGCGTAAAATAGCCTATAGCTATAAAATTCAGTTTATAAGTTAGCCTAAGTTTAGGCATACCTTATGATTATAGTGTCCTAAGATTTATCTATGTTTTCTAAGCTTAGGTATAATTTACCCTAAGCTTAGGATCAGACAGGCTAAGCTTTAGAAGAGAAGAGAACAGAACGTGAGGATCGGATGTACTCCAGTAGTTGTGATCAATCTATTGAGCTTCAATCAGAGATACCTCTTCTTGGAATCCACTGCAAGACACCACAAAAACAATGCATTGTCTAGTGAGCAAATCTAAAGTCCAAACGCTGCTGACCCTCATCCGTGGTGTTCAGAATGTAGTCCTGCTGTTGCTCCTTGGTCAAAGCATTCCATCTCGCATCGCGGACCTTGTTCCTCCAGATATAGAACGCCTTGACGATATAAAACAAGACGATATTTGCAGATGTGATACCAAGAATGACCCTGTTGCCTCGGCGGTACAGAGGCTGATCATCTTCGCGGAAGATATTGGATGCCGCAATGTTACCAGTCTGAACGAACATGTTGTACAAGGCAGCGCTGATAGCTCTCGTGCGCACACTGTTACTATTCTTGGCGTTCCAACCAACAAGAATAGCGTGACAATAGGGGTAACTCAAAAGACCTGTGATGAGAGCGTATCGGACCCAGGGAGAAATATCGCCGGGAAGAACGACGAGGGCAAGAACCCATGGGAAAATCCAGATGTTCGAGAGGGATGATAGCATTCCTCGCTCTTGGACGCGCTCAGAGAGCCAGGTGATGATGAGTAAGTTCACAGCATAGAGGAACTGAGATGGAATAGCGAGGAGGTTGGCTTCGAAGACGGAGAAGCCGATTTGACGCAGGATGAAGGAGAGATAGGTGTTGAATGGCGCGGGAGGGATGTACACCATGAGACCGATGATGTACAGCGGCCACTGCTCCCAGTCCTTGACGGCTTTCCAGAGCTTGGGAAGGTTGACAGCCTCTCTGTTATGATGTTAGTCAATGAGCATAGTTGGTGCCTCCAAGGTAGCGTACCTGTTGTTCATATCACCCTTGCTAGGATCATCGCGAAGAAGTCGGTTCACCATGATGTACTCCTCACGTTCATTGAACCAGCCATTCTTGCCACGGAACCAACTCTTGGTCTGGCAGGGACCGGGGGGCATGAGAACCCAAGAGAAGAGGCCGATGATGAAAGTGCCAATGGCTTCAAGGAGGAATCTAAGAGTCATGTAAGCTTGAGGTTCCCAAGTTGACAAGTTTAGTACTTACAGCCATCGCCAACCGCCCCAGCCGAGAACGCCTCTCATCTGGAGGATACCAGCGGCAAGAAGAGAACCCAAAATGTTACTGGTGCTCAGGGCAGTCCAGAAGAAAGCCAATCTGATGGGCAGTTCATTGGACTTGTAGAAATAAGTGAGCCAAAGAACAATATCACTGACTTTGTCAGTCGATATCCTACTACTAGGGGCTGACGACTTACGGAATGAATCCACCCATCAAAAGACCCAGAAGAGCCTTGATAGCAAAATAAGCACCCCTACTATGCAGTGCAGCTTGGGAACCCGCAACAAGGGACCAACTGCAGATGAGAAACGGGATCCATCTATCTGCACCGAGCTTCTTGCTAATCAAGCCACTGGGAAGTTCGGCTGAGAGGAAGGACACAAGGAAGATCTAAGTGGTCAGTCGAAATGCCGAGCAGAGCAGGGATTGACTTACAGTCTGGCCGTAGTTGAAATCGTTAGTGTTCATGCCTACTTCCGGCAACTAGAAGAAACTATTAGTCAAGATTTCACCCCAGATGTATCGGAGAATTAATTAACTTACCATGTTGTCGGAAATAGCACGGTTGATGTTTCGGCGGTGGAAGTCTAGGGAGAGGAACATGACCCAAGCCCAGAGACAGATGCGGAAGTCAATCTAGAGATAAGCTCATATGTTAGTCAACTGACCTCAAGAATGCCATACGATGGCTTGGTGTAAGTCTTTTACAGAAGAGGAAAGTACCTTTCTGACCAGCTTCTTCTCCTCCTGAGCAGTCCAAGTGAAACTTGGATCGAACCGATGTCGATTCTCATATTGAGCATTCTCATAAACCTTCCTCCAACGATCTGCGACCTCTGGGTCCGAAAAAGGATGCTCGAGCGATGAATTAGCGGTCTCATCACCACTATCAAATCGACGGTCCTCGGATTCAGTCTTGCCAATGACCCCTTTGGAGTCTGCAACGGCAGCCATTTTGGATCTTAGCGAGAGACACTAGTAATAGCTGAGAGAACCAGTAACAAAAGACAGCAAGCAAGTCCTCGGAGAAAGAGAATAAGAGGGAGGGCCGCGGAGATGTCGAACATGATGTGATGTTTGGCGGTGCAGGGCTGGACTTATAAAGCCTGGCATTTCCCCTACCGAGACTGATTCATTTAAACATTGATCTAAAATTTTACCTTATTTGCCCCCATGCTGCTTGGGATGCCTCTGAGAAGACACGGGGGTTATCAATGTCGCGATGGACTACGAAAATCACCTCAGGGCTCGGCGAACGAGTGTTTTCTGGGCATGACCAGCCGATTCAGGGTTAACCGACGCCTCCAGAATAACTACGACGCTGGAACTCTGAGCCAACATGGATAATCGACGAAGCTACAACAGCTCCCGTTAAACCTGGGGGTTCGATCTAGACCATCAGCCACTGCCAAAGAACCAATAAAGAGCTCTCGATAAGTCAAAAGATTTAAGCTTACAATTGGTACGAGGGATAGGGTGCTTTGGAACTAGCCATGGTCGAGTTCGGAGGTTTGTCCTATCTCATGAGAATAGAGGCATGACGTGCTCGCGATAGGGACCAATCGCTGAGAGATCCGACCGAGACGCCGTGAAACGATAATGGTTAGGCCTCTTTATGGAGAAATCTTCGGACTTGGCATGGCTCGGTAGTTGGAAGTGTTACGGGGAGTTCGGGCGATAGTTGATATGGAGTTGCTGGGGTCAACTATTATATAGTCATTTCCCGACGATAGAGATACTTGAGAAAACTGTAACTCCCAGATTTTGAGCCACGTATAATGGTGACACCTCCAAAACCTATTCCCCAGACATTTTGGACTTGTAAAGAGTTATGGCCGATATCCGAGCCATCGATAATCCGTCTTGATAACCCCGAGTGATAGCCATATTGCGTGACCCATCCCCAGGAATTGCGCCAACTCACCACCACCCTCGATGCCTCAACAACGAGATCCGACATTGCGCAATACCATGCTATAACGCCGTGATAAATACTCACAGATCGCCAAGTAACTTTACATTTCAATGTTACACTCTCCGTCCTTCTCGGCCGTTGTGCGATTTGATTCGCGTCTCGTTGATCAACGCAATAGAGGCGATGTTTGCGCGATGATGACAATGTTTGATACTCACTGCTCGTCATTACGAGTTCTCTATTGCGGATGCATACTTCCCCGCGTTACGAGTATGATGGAAATGGGATTTGTCAGATGGGGAGGGAGGGTATATAAAGGCCGTTGAGTTCCAGGTGAACTACGCAATTGACGTTAATCCCGTATCAAAGACTTACACAATATTTGATAAGACTCATTCAAAATGGCTCCCTCAGCTGTTGAGACTCAGGCTCCTGCAGTCGATGCCCAGAAAGTAAAGCTCTACCCCGGCCATGTCGAGGGCGTATACAAGGAATTTGCCCCCGTCGTATACCGTCGTGAAGCAGAAGAGAAAGGCATTGACGGCCATGCTGCAGCGAAGGTATGTCTCATCCTCTCTTACATACACTCGTCTTACTAACAACATCTCAGTACCCAAACTATCTTCCAACATGGAACAAAGACCAAGTCTACCCTCCCCTCGTACCCTTCGAGCACTACGAGCACGGCAAAGACGCAGACCCAACATTCCCCAACCTTCTCAAGCCCACCACAAAGATCTCCCACCTCACACCCACAATCGGCACTGAGATAGACGGCATCCAACTAAGCAGCCTCTCCGACGCCGGCAAAGACGAACTAGCCCGCTACGTCGCAGAGCGCAAAGTCGTCGCCTTCCGCAACCAAGACTTTGCCGACCTCCCCATCTCCGAAGCCCTCAAGTTCGGCGGTTACTTCGGCCGTCATCACATCCACCCTACTTCAGGATCCCCAGAGGGTCACCCGGAGGTTCATCTCGTGCATAGAAGTGCGGGGGACAAGTCGTACGAGGAGTTCTTCAAGACGCGTGTTAGCTCTGTGGCGTGGCATTCTGATGTTTCGTATGAACAACAGCCGCCTGGAACGACGTTTCTCTATGTCCTTGATAACCCTGACACTGGCGGTGATACCCTCTTTGCGAATACTGTTGAGGCGTATAATAGATTGTCGCCGACGTTTCAGAAGTTGTTGCATGGACTTAAGGCGACGCATTCTGGGATTGAGCAGGTCAATGCTAGTGTGAAGAAGGGAAGTATTAAGAGGCGTGAACCGGTTGTTAATGAGCATCCTATTGTGAGAACACACCCTGTTACCGGGGAGAAGTCGCTCTATGTTAATCCTCAGTGTAAGTTCATTCACGCAAGACCAAGAAACCAGCTAACAGCCAACAGTTACGCGAAGCATTGTCGGTCTCAAGAAAGAAGAGTCTGATGCTATTCTCAACTTCTTGTATGAGCACATCGCTTGGGGCGCTGACTTCCACGCTCGTGTGAGATGGCAGGAAAAGACTGTTGTTGTCTGGGATAATAGATCTGTTCAGCATACTGCCATTCTTGACTGGCACTCTGGTCAGCGACGTCATCTTGCTCGTATCACACCACAGGCTGAGAGGCCTTATGAGACCCCTTTTGAGGGTTAGGTCTGATATCGGACAACAGAGAAATAGCATAAGATAGTGTTGAACAAACATCCCAGAAGATCATAGTTGCATAACTTCAAACTTCATTATCATACATCACACAAGCAACATTGCGTATTAATAATCTCATTGATATCTCGGCATGCCTCATCTGGTATCTTATTCCAACCAGCCACCATGTTTATAAAATACTTCGTTTCTCATCCAACGCCACACATGATATTCCCAAGCAACATAACCTGCCCTCTCTATCTATGCATAAAACTCAATTCATAGTACTCCAAACCTGATGCCCAAGCATAGTCGTCAATAGCCCAACTCCATACATGCCAGCGCCTTCGTTCTCATGAAAAACCTCTAGTGCAAGCCAGCAGACCGCTGCCAATTCGACTACATTCAGCGCAGAGCTAATGTATGTCGCTGTGGTAGGGAGTCTTGTTTGTCGACTTGTTTCGCCTGTCTCTCGTAGTGCAATAATCCCCACCGCCGATAGCAATGCGAGCTGGACTTCTCGTCCGAAAGGCATAGAAACTGCTACAGTGAGACCCCAGAGAACGAGCATCACCGCCAGAGCGGTGAATTCAACACCAAGGTTACCCAACTGAGGTGTACCAGTAGACATGCGAGTTTCTGAACCCCTTCTGTGTGTGGAGCCTCCTGAATATTCATCAGGATGACTTTGTTCCTTTCCCAACGTGAAGCTCTGACTCAAGAGGTCAGCCAGCCCATTAGCCTCGTCATTACTGCGTTCAGGCGCAAAGAAACTGGGCGGCTTGAACGAAACTTCACGTTCGTCATCTTCATTCTCATCCCGTTTCTTAGCGGCGCCTCGGAAGAAAATACTCTCCTGCTGTGCCGGCTTGGTTCTGATAATCGGCGCGTTAGGAGGGTTTCGTATCCGCTGGGATGGGTTCGTCGGCGCAGGAGGAACCTTGTACCAAAAAGGGCTTGTTTCGGCGCTCACTGGTGCCTCCCCGAACGACTTTCGGGGTCCATTGGTGGAGGGTGTATTTTGAAAAGCTCGGTATGGCGATTGAGATTGAGTTTGAGATTCGGTTGGTGTCCAATCCATTTCGTCCGAATATCCAAGGTCTTGTGTCTTTCGAGGTGTGATGTTGAGAGCGTTGAATTGGGTACGAGTGCTTCCTGGGGCTCTATAGGAATTCCCAGGGGGCAGTGGTTGAGGTGAAAATGTCCTAATAGGTGACGGATTGAACCGATCTGGCTGAGGTGTTGCCGTAGGGGAGTCTAAAGCTTCATTCAACAGTTCTGAGAAGGTCTTTGGTTCCTCTCTCTTCTGCCGAGTAATCTTAGGTTGCTTCGGTGGCGAAAAAGTTGTGTTTGAGGTGCCAAAAAGGGGTGTAGTGTCGACCTTGATAGACCTTTTTGCGGCAGAATATATCTAAACAGATTAGTACGAATTTTGAAGGTGTATATTCCTCGGACAACTTACCATGACCATAACAACTGACATGACGAAATGCGCGCTAAGCTGAGCGTTCCGCGATTGAGCCTGTCCTCCATCCATCTCAAGCACACGTCGGAATAGGATGCGGAAGAAGACGATCAGGCCCTGAAATGCATACCATTGCGTGAAACCCAGGAGATGTCTTGTGAAGCCTCTGCTGACTTGTACGAACTGGGGATTCCACCATGCCGACAGTATGCTCGCAACGACAGCGCTGTTCATGAGGGTATCCGCTGGAGGAAGAAATGCCACAGCCAAGCCCAGACCCTTCACAGCCAGCGTCGACCAGCTCCTGTCGTCCGGATCGTACATTCCCACATCCTGATGTTCCAGCGCAAGAGTGATTGCTCTGAGATGCCACAGCATCTGCATCGCCAATCCTCCCCACCACAACCCCTTGCCTAGGCTATCAACCCAGTCCAAAGCGCCCTTCTTTTCAGGTGAAATCTTCCTTCCTCTGCTCTTTTCCATCATCCGTCGGAGATGGTCCGTCTTGGCCGTATATCCCGCCCGTCGAATCTGACCATCAACTCTCTCAGCGCATTCATCACAAACTTGGGGATATCGTTCCTCTAACCCCTTTCGAAATCTGTAGTAATTTCGCTCGAGCTCGGGGTAATCGGGGTGGTTCGTATCGTCGGGAAGATACTGCGCCAGAGATGACGTAAATAACCGCTGGTTCTTCAGACATGTTGCGCAAAAGATGCTATCTTTTGGGGATGACGGAGGTGAATGTCGAGGAACAGCGTATTGGGTTGCGGGAGCTTCACGCTCGGTGGCTACTGGAGGATCCGTAATCTCTCCATTCTAATCTTCATTAGTAACTCTGTCACAATATCGAAAGGTGGTTCATACTTCATCGAGGTAGTTTGTCGCATCGCATGATAGGCATAGAAACTGGCGGGTGATGCCGTCATATTTTGTATTGGACCTCTTCCCGCAATAAAAGCAGGTTAGATATCTGGTCCCTCGCAGGCGTGGCATAATTCCAAGACCATCGCCCTATCGAGGAATTTAGGGAAATAGGAAACGTGGTGATGTGAAAATGGTGCCAACGAGCGTATTGTTGATCGACGTGAAAAACAAATCAAGGATGATGACGGTTGTTTGGGGTGGTTTCTGCCGGGCGGTCAGGGGACTTTTTAGAGGCTCAGGAACCCTTGCAGCGGGGCCGCAGTTACATACCCCTGTCTTCCATTCCTGTGACAGGAGCTGTTCCTGGAGCATGAGATCAAGTAAATTAGTACTCGGGTATGCTTAGAAAGATGTAGAAGATATAAAACGTGCGATTTCCATATAATTTTAGTATCGATCGGCTTTAAATAGTAATGACCTGGGGAAGTAAGACCCAAGCTTCAGCATATGGCTTCTGCCTCAGCAGCTCAGCCCTGTAACAATCCTTCTAGAAGGTCGGCAAGTGGAGGTCACGTCACCAATACCACCCAGCTTCACTTCACTCAACTTCAGCTTTGTTTGCTACATGTTACACATATCCAATTGTATCATCTCACAACTTTACTCCCACTCACTCCGTCATTGAGAACATCATACAATCTCATCATCAACTCCCAAACAATGCCATCATCATGACCTCTCAAGCCTCATCATCCCACCCTCTCCCC